TAAATAATAATAATAATWWTAWTAWTAWTAATAATAATGKTTTAATATGCACTTTTATAGATGTCTTTGACTATGKTGTGMTCCATAAATAGATAATAATMATTTCARATATTCACCCCATCTCAGCCTAAATAATAATAATAATAATAATAATAATAATAATAATAATGTTTTATTATGAACTTTTATAGATGTCTTTGACTATGTTGTGCTCCATAAATAGATAATAATAATTTCAAATATTCACCCCATCTCAGCCTTAAACTAGATTATTATTATTATTATTATTATTATTATTATTATTACTAGCTGCCATTTTCTCTCTGCCATATAATTGTTAATACTCCACTGAACTAAAAAATCCCATGTGCTCCATAAATAGGTAATAATCATTTCAGATATTCACCCCATCTCAGACTAAATAATAATAATAATAATAATAATAATTATTATTATTATTATTATTTAGTCTGAGATGGGGTGCATATCTGAAATGATTATTATCTATTTATGGAGCACACCATAGTCAAAGACATCTATAAAAGTGCATATTAAAACATTGTTTTTTTATTATTATTATTATTATTAATAATAATAATAATAATAATAATATTGTCTTAAAAGCATATATGAAAACATACACACACATATTGTTATTTCTCCTGCAATTTTAACTTTGGGGGGAGGTTGATGCCAGGTAGGGTTTCTGTACTATGTTTTCTCCCTTCTAAGAGTGTGACTATTATGAAGATATCAGACTTTTTCATTGTTTCCTTGGGCTTTCCTAGGGCTGGAGCCATCACTCACCTCTTTGATGGACAGCAAGGGACTCTACCTATTTGAAATCAAAGATCCCGAGATCGTAACCCAAAAGGTAAGTCATAGAAAGTTATTGTTGTTGTTGTTGCCGCCATGCAAAGCTGGAACCCAAGTTGGGACAGAAATAATAATGACGCTAATAATAATAATAATAATAATAATAATAATAATAATAATAATAATAATAATAATTATTATTATTATTATTATTATTATTATTATTATTATTATAACAATGATACTACTACTAATAATAAAAATAATGGCACTAATAATAATGACAGTAATGGCACTAATAATAATAATAATGACAGTAATAATAATAATGATACCAATGACAATAGTAATAATAATGACACTAATAGTAATGCTACTAATAATAATGACAGTAATAATAATAATAATGATACCAATGACAATAGTAATAATAATAGCAGTAATAGTAATGACACTAATAATAATGGCACTAATAATGACACTAATGGCACTGATAATAATAACAATAATGACACTAATAATAATGATGATGATACCAATGACAATAGTAATAATAATAGCAGTAATAATAATGACACTAATGGCAATAATAACAATAATGACAGTAATAATAGTAATGATACCACTGACAATAGTAATAATAATAGCAGTAATAATAATGACACTAATAATAATGACACTAATGGCACTAATAATAATAACAATAATGACAGTAATAATAATGATACCAATGACAATAGTAATAATAATGACAACAATAATAATAACAACAACAATGATACTACTACTACTAATAAAAATAATGGCTCTAATAATAATAATAATAATAATAATAATAATGACAGTAATAATAATAATGATACCAATGACAATAGTAATAATAATGACACTAATAATAACAATAACAATGATACTGCTACTACTAATAAAAATAATGGCACTAATAATAATGACACTAATGGCTCTAATAATAATAACAATAATGGCAGTAATAATAATACTGATACCAATGACAATAATAATAATAATGACACTAATAATAATGGCACTAATAATAATGACAGTAATAATAATGATAATAATAATAACACAAATGACAATAGTAATTATAATAGCAGTAAAAATAATGACACTAATAATAATGAAACTAAAGGCACTAATAATAATAACAATAATGACAATAATAATAACACTGATACCAATGACAATAGTAATAATAATAGCAGTAATAATAATGACACTAATAATAGTGGCACTAATAATAATAACAATAATGACAGTAATAATAATGATGATACCAATGACAATAGTAATAATAATATCAGTAATAATAATGGTACTAATAACAATAACAATCATGACAGTAATAATAATAATGATACCAATGACAATAGTAATAATAATAGCAGTAATAATAATGGCACTAATAATAATAACAATAATGGCAGTAATCATAATAATGATCCCAATGACAATAGTAGTAATAATGACAGTAATAACAATAATAACAATAACAATGATACTCCTACTAATAATAAAAATAGTGGCACTAATAATAATGACAGTAATAATCATAATGATGATACCAATGACAATAGTAATAATCATAGCAATAATCATAATGACACTAATAATAATGGCACTAATAATAATAACAATAATGGCAGTAATAATAATAATGATACCAATGACAATAGTAATAATAGCAGTAATAATAATGACAGTAATGTTAATAGTAATAATAATGTCACTAATAATAATAATAATAATAATAATAATAATAATAATAGCTCTATCTCCTTTTGTCCCTTTTGCCTCCTTCTCCCAGGGCTACTTCATTATCCAGCTGGACTTTGCTTTTCCACACTCTTTGCTGATAGATTTCCTGAAGACGGCGATATAGGAAAACCTGCACAAGACCAAAGGAAAACACTCCATTTAAAACCCCCATAAAGGTGGTTTCTTTCCATACCTGGGACTGTGGCTGATGCTCTACTACACCGTTTCTCATCCTGGGGGACGGAACCACTGGTGGGGTCATGAGGGGGATTTCAGAGGGGTCACCAAAGACCATCCGAAAACACGTATTCCTGATGGTCTTAGGAATCCCTTTGGCAGCAACAATATCTCCCAAATGACAAAATCAATCCCCCCAACTCCGTCAGCATTCACATTTTGGTGTATCATGTATGTGTGCCAAATTTGGTCCAGGTCCATACTTGTTTGGGTTCACAGTGCTCTACAGAGGCAGGTGAACTACATCTCCCCTAAATTAATGTCAATTCCTCCCAAATCGCTCTAGTATTTTCTGTTAGTCATGGGAGTTCTGTGTAATAAGTTTGGCCTGATTCTATCATTGATGAGGTCAAGGGGCACTTTGATTGTAGGTGAACTATAAATCCCAGCAACGACAACTCTCAAATATCAAGGACTATTTTTCCCCAAACTCCACCTGTGTTCACATTTGGGCATATTGAGTATTCATACCAAGTTTGGTCCAGATCCATCATTGTTTGAGTCCACAGTGCTCTCTGGATGTAGATGAACTACAACTCCAAACCTCAAGGTCAATGCCCACCAAACCTTTCCAGTATTTTCTGTTCCTCAAGGGAGTTCTGTATGCCAAGTTTAGTTCAATTCCATTGTTGGTGGAATTCAGAATGCTCTTTGATTGTAGGTGAACTATAAATCCCAGCAACTACAACTCCCAAATATCAAGGTCTATTTTCCCCAAACTCCACCTGTGTTCACATTTGGGCATATTGAGTATTCGTACCATAGTTGGCCCAGATCCTTCATTGTTTGAGTCCACAGTGTTCTCTGGATGTAGGTGAACTACAACTCCAAAATTCAAGGTCAGTGCCCACCAAACCCTTCCAGTATTTTCTGTTGGTCATGGGAGTTCTGTCTGCCAAGTTTGGTTCAATTCCATCATTGGTGGAGTTCAAAATGCTCTTTGATTGTAGGTGAACTATAAATCCCAGCAACTGCAACTCCATTGTAAGCCGCATCGAGTCCTTCGGGAGATGCTAGCGGGGTACAAATAAAGTTAATAATAAATAATAAAATAATAACTCCCTAATGTCAAGGTCTATTTCCCCCAAACTCCACCTGTGTTCACATTTGGGCATATTGAGTATTCATAACAAGTTTGGCCCATATCCATCATTGTTTGAGTCCACAGTGTTCTCTGGATGGAGGTGAACTAGAATTCCAAAACTCAAAGTCAATGCCCACCAAACCCTACTAGTATTTTCTGTTCGTCAGGGGAGTTCTGCATGCCAAGTTTAGTTCAATTCCATTGTTGGTGGAGTTCAGAATGCTCTTTGATTGTAGGTGAACTATAAATCCCAGCAACTACAACTCCCAAATATGAAGGTCTATTTCCCCCAAACTCCACCTGTGTTCACATTTGGGCATGTTGAGTATTTGTATCAAGTTTGGTACAGATACATAATTGTTTGACTCCACTGTGTTCTCTGGATGTAGGTGAACTACAACTCCCAAACTCAAGCTCAATGCCCACCAAACCCTTCCAGTATTTTCTGTTCGTCAGGGCAGTTCTGTCTGCCAAGTTTGGTTCAATTCCATCATTGGTGGAGTTCAGAATGCTCTTTGATGGTAGGTGAGCTGTGAATCCCAGTGACTACAACTCCCAAATATCAAGGACTATTTTCCCCAAACACCATCTGTGTTCACATTTCGGCATATTGAGTATTTGTATCAAGTTTGGTGCAGATCCATCATTGTTTGAGTCCACAGTGTTCTCTGGATGTAGGTGAACTACAACTCCCAAACTCAAGGTCAGTGCCCACCAAACCCTGCCAGTATTTTCTGTTCGTCAGGAGAGTTCTGTATGCCAAGTTTGGTTCAATTCCATCGTTGGTGGAGTTCAGAATGCTCTTTGATTGTAGGTGAACTATAAATCCCCGCAACTACAACTCCCTAATATCAAGGTCTTCAACTTCATGCTCACCGTGTCACATGCGCAGCAATTGTGGGAAGGACGATTTTCTTCTATGGGAAAGCTCTGCTCCGCCTCGAAACGACGGACAGACGGCACCCCTGCTTCCTATTTGGGACTCAAAGAGGCTTAGCGAGAAATGTTTTTAGTTTGTTTGTGTTTGTAAAACGATACATGAGATGACATACATAAAAATAAATAATTCATAAACAACTGGAATCGCAAGTTTTTCCCAATCCACGTGACACAAGAGACAAAACAACCAATGCATTAAATAGAGAGTAATGGAATATATGTATTTATTTACAGTATATTCCGCCCTTCTCACCCCGCAGGGGACTCAGGGCGGATCACAATGTACATATACATGGCAAACATTCAATGCCATAGACACACAACATATATAGAGGCTATTTAACATTCCAGCTTTTCATGAGGGTATTCTGGCCACCAGGGGAGCTGTCATTTCACCGTCAATGTGTGACACTGACGAAGTACTTCCTCATTCTTTGCATGCTTGCTGGAGATTTTTATGGCCTTGTAAATTAGTTAAATTAGCCTCCCTGCATAAGCTGTACCTCAATTTCCTACTTGACAGATGCAACTGTCTTTTAGGTTGCAAAGGTCGACAGCAAGCTACACAAATTTGGTCGGAAGCTCACTCCAACCCAGGCTGGCTTTGAATTCATGACCTTTCGGTCAGTAGTCACAGGTCCGCAGTTTGGGTGTCCTCCTGGACTCATCACTTGAAGCTCAGGCGTCGGCAGTGGCCGGGAGGGCCTTCGCACAATTAAGACTCTTGCGCCAGCTGCGACCGTACCTCGTGAAGTCAGATCTGGCCAGGGTGGTCCATGCCTTAGTCACCTCCAGATTGGATTACTGTAATGCACTCTACATGGGGCTGCCCTTGAAAACGGCCCGGAAATTTCAACGGGCGGCAACCAGGTTACTAACCGGTGCTTTTTACAGGGAGCGGTCAACCCCCCTGTTTAAGGAGCTCCAATGGCTGCCGATCATTTTCTGGTCCCAATTCAAAGTGCAGGTTCTTACCTACAAAGCCCTGAACAGTTTGGGACCCGCCTACCTGCGTGACTGCATTTCTGTGTACGAACCCACACGATCTCTACTATCATCTGGCGCAGGTTCGCAGCTTGGGTGTGACCCTGGATTCATCATTGAGCCTGGATCCCCAGGTTTCAGCGGTGACCAGGGGAGCATTTGCACAGCTTAGGCTCGTGCGCCAGCTGCGCCCGTACCTTGGGAAGTCTGACTTGGCCATGGTGGTACACGCTCTGGTCACATCCCGCCTTGACTACTGCAACGCTCTCTACGTGGGGCTGCCCTTAAAGACGGCCCGGAAACTTCAGCTAGTTCAGCGCGCGGCAGCCATGTTACTAACAGGAGCGGGACGCAGGGAGCATACAACGCCCTTGCTGTTCCAGCTCCACTGGCTGCCGATTTGCTACCGGGCCCAATTTAAGGTGCTGGTGCTATCCTACAAAGCCCTAAACGGTTCCGGCCCAAAATACCTTTTGGACCGCATCTTGGCCTATGAGCCCACGAGGACCTTGAGATCGTCTGGGGAGGCCCTTCTCTCGATCCCGCCTGCTTCACAGGCACGTCTGGCGGGGACGAGAGAAAGGGCCTTCTCGGTGGTGGCCCCCCGGCTGTGGAACGACCTCCCTGCTGACATCAGACAGGCGCCTTCCCTTCTGTCCTTCCGAAAGAGCCTGAAGACCTGGCTATTTGAGAAGGCATTCAACTGAGCGCTACGGCAACTGGTAATTGACAACTGGAACGGAATACGGATTACGATATTGGTTATGATTCTATGATGTGACGGAGCGGATTATTTAGTGTAACTAGATTATAGTGTATTATTGTTGTATTGATTCCCTGTTTTGCCCTTTTTGTAAACTGTTTTTATATGTTGTGCACCGCCGCGAGTCGCCCTAGGGCTGAGAGCGGCGGTCAATAAATGCAGTAAATAAATAAATAAAATAAATCTGGAGAGGCCCTGCTCGCGCGCCCACCTCCATCGCAGGTGTGATTGGTGGGGACGAGAGAGAGGGCCTTCTCGGTGGTGGCCCCTCGACTCTGGAACTCACTCCCCAAGGACATCAGGCATGCCCCAACTCTGGCAGTCTTTAGGAGGAGCCTGAAAATGTGGTTGTTCCAGTGTGCCTTCCCAGAATAAGGAAATGCCCTCAGCAATATGTCCCTAAATGCACTTTATCACTGATTTAGGATTGTCCGTGCGCCCCATCTCTACCTGAAAACTCTATCCCAGTTATATCCCACCTTGTCCATGTCCAGCATTATTTTTTAATTTTTAAATTATTGCATTTGGCCCAGCCATAGGTTTAAAATGCTTGTTGTTATTGTTACTGTTTATTGTTTACTTTTGTTTATGAGATTTATTTTAACTATTGTATTGATTGTTTTCTTATTGCTTTTACTGTTGATGTACTTTGGGCTCAGCCTCATGTAAGCTGCACTGAGTCCCTTGGGGAGATGGCAGCGGGGTAGAAATAAAGTATTATTATTATTATTATTATTATTATTATTATTATTATTATTAATGCAGCTGACTCCACTCAGCTGCCACAGTCCCGAAGCTATATTCTTAAAACAAGATACAATTGCAATGTTTAGTGAGATCTGGTGCATTGTTTCGGTGATAGACCATTGGCTAGACCACTGGTGAAGTACTTCCTCATTCTTTGCATGCTTGCTGGAGATTTTTATGGAGTCGTAAATTAGTTAAATTAGCCTCCCCACATACGCGGTATCTAAATTTCCAACTTGACAGATGCAGACTTCATAAACTTTGCTTTTGGACTCAGAACTGTGTGTCTTGACGTGACCAGTTGAAACATTCACACCTGCCTCCAACAGACAAGAGTTCTTTGTCCCACTCTGGATCTTCCACAGATATATAAACCCAATGTTCCTAGTTTCCAACAGACTTCACAATCTCTGAGGATGCCTGCCACAGATGTGAGCA